TTTAGGAAGAAAAACAACATTGATCGATGATGGGAATAATTGTACGTTGACAAATTGATTTTGATATAATGATATATATGTATTTGGAATTGTTGATTTTAAATGTGATGTCATAATAAAATTACAAGATCGTGCCAACTTATCTATTATAGCAAAGTTTATATCAATCATGAACGAGTGAATGCTAGAGGCACTAACCATGTGTTGGGCATGAATGGAAAAAGAAAACCCTTTTTTCTTTGAGAGAATGTAAGAAAAGCTAAAACTGATCATGGCAAACACCCCATTAATTTCCACAATATGCTCTAAAATGACAGTACCCGAAATTAAGAAATTGGGGCTTTTGCCCATATCTTTTTCCTCTTTTTGTTATTACCGTTGCGTACATACCGCCTTCCAAATTCGTGAATTATTCATGTGCCGAGAGATCTTGCTGCTGAATTTATTGTCCTTTGCTTATATCTTTTTCTTTCTACTTTGGTTTTTATTAAAAGTTTCTTTATTGCTAAATATACTTTTAGCCTAACGCTCTCATTTATTCCATTCTACAAAAACATAATGGATGAGATAAGAGAATGAAGTCATGTTGTTTTGTACATCCTTTAAGAAAATTAACAATTCGTATTTTGCTTAATGTTACCTTCTAAATTTATATATATATTTTAATTTTTTAAAGAATTAATCTCTTTCATTCTATATTCTGATTATTTCATACATGTCTTAGAGCATCTCCAATGCTATGGTGTTGAAAGGCAATAATTTTTAACACATGTCAATTGATGATTGTAATGTTAATCCACATAAGAATAATGTTAAAAGACTAAAAATTTGAATCAAACTAGTATCTCCAATGCACCAATTTGATAAGAATTTATTTGTATAGGTGGACCAATTATAATAATTCATTAATACAAGAATAATAAAAAATTAAACCAAAATATAAAGTGAATTAATGAGTCATCATGTTTAACATGGTGTTAGATATTAGAAAGTGAGTTCAACATTGTTAACATTAAATG